CAATATGTGTTTTTAATCTCATTATTAAATCATCATCATCATTTCAGCCTGTTTGCGTTCAATGATGAACATAGGCCTTCGCCACACACTGCCACCATGCACGATTCTGAGCCACCTACCTCCATCGACTTCCCGCATACTTGCACAGGTCGTCACTCCATTTAGTGGGGGGTCGTGTCCAGAAAAGTCAGTTGAGTCTGTAGGAATAATTGTAGAACGGTTCCTTTTTTTTGCAAAATATACAAAGGAACCTTTGCAACGTAGTTCATTCCGTGTACTTTTTGCTCTTTGTAGAAGACTGGTTGAAATTAAAGAGATTATTATCTCCCAAGCGGCAACTAGTCTGTCAACTGTTCTTTATGTTCGGTACATTGATTATTATTGTGTATTATTGTAAGATATCAGAATTGTATGCAAGAAAATATGTAAAATCTGATATTATTGGCGCCGGGATAATTACCAGACACAACTAGCTAACATTAACTGACATAGCTATATACAGCGTGTCGTTACCATCGCGACAATAAATGAACACACGTCTAACGCTACTTGCCATCCTAAAAATAATACTTGCCAATCATAAAAAAATATTAACATTAAACAAAATCTATAATTAAAAAAAATATTTTTCAAACAAACTAATTAAGTAAAAAAGAAACAAAATTTGTAACATCCTATACAACTCGCGCCACAGCGTCGTATTACAAGCCTCTCCTTCTAACAGTATGTTTTGTTTCTTTTAAATTCATTCAACCCATTTATATGCTTTGTGACCTTTACAAATGAACTTTACGTTACGCTTTTATAGGTAAGGGTGTTCTAAAATTCTTTGTTTTGGAAAATTTAATAACTCTGTAAATATTGATGTTTAAAGAATTTAAATGTTTAATACAACTTTAAAAAGTTAACCCACTTATGTGTGTTCATTTATTGTCGCGATGGTAACGACACGCTGTATAAGGCAAGATTTATAGCGTGCACATACTGCTAACTATATTAGTCCAAAATCCAAATAGTAATCTAACAGAATAAGTATCATCATCATTTTTTATGTAAGAAGATGGGAAGCGATCTGGCGATTCACGTGATGTTGAGTGATAACCACCGCCCATGGACATTTACAACAGCTGTAGGTTTACAAAACGCAAACGTGGGAACGCTCCCACCTATCAAAAAACTGGTCCCCGTTTACCTCACACCAGAACGCAGAAGTGTTAAATTTTTTCTTATACTACGGCCGTGTGTGGCTATAGGCCTCATCCAATGCAAGTCGCTCAGCCGGACCTTTGGCCGTGCAATCCCAGCCGTAACAACGTAATAGTTAGTACGCGAGGCGTCGCTCCGACGACGACTTGCCGAGTGCCACAATCAACAACGCTGGTTTGCCCCGACGGCGGTCAAATCCGCTCGGAACGTGACCGGTCCCATCGCCGCCACAGATGGCACGCTCGAGTCCGTGACGGTCGCTTACTTACCCCAATCCAATAGTAAGTAAGTAGTAGTAGTGGCGGCATTAAATTAGAAACGAGGCAGTTCTAGCACGCCGCGTAGGCATATCGATCGGGAGCCCGCCCGGGCGGACTTTGAGCGAGCGGCTCGGATTAGCGAAGCCGGGTGCACTGGATAGCGTCGATAAATTAAACCGCACGTAATGTGAGAATTAATAATGCACGAGGGGCCGCTCATACATTCGTAATGCTCTTGTACAATCGCGCAGAGATACGCGGGCCGTATTGCTGTGCGATAGGGCTCAGTTGTCCAGGAAACGTCTCAATCCGCTTCGGTGCTCGAGTGTACATTTGATATAACACAGTGGGATCGGTCGCTCTCGCGGCGCGTGTGTTTCGTGAATCGACGGTTCCGGGTTCGGGTTACGAGTTGTGATTAATATTTATACTGTTCAAGACTTATTGAGCCGCTCTGCATGCTTTTATGTTTGTACGTGTTGCCTAAGCTTAGAAGAAAGCCTACAATGCTCTCTACTTTCTTATCGTTTTTCTTACCGTATTCACTTTTCTTATCGAACTCTCTTGGATTCAGTTATTAGTCGCGACATGTCAATTCTTCAAATCAATAAATAAATAAATAAAACAACTAGACAGCTGCGCCACGAAGTCGTTGAAAGTATTGGAATGGCGTGCAATAGTTTTGGTCATGTTTTTATTAGTGTTTATAAAACGCTTCTAACTGCTGTAGGATTATCCACACCTATATTCGGAAAACTGGCTATTTGTGGAAAGAGAAAGTGTACATTAATAGAGAATCAATTTGTAATATTGAAAATGTTTTCTTACAAACGTATACACGTATAAAAAAAAGAATAAGCAACTATGATTTTTTTTTTGATTCGAAAGACCAAGGCGTGCCTTGAACATTAAAGGAGACGTAGAATATCTGTTCGTAATCAAAGTTTATCTTATTCAAGTGAAACTTCAACTATTTTAATGATGACTTGCATTCCGTAAACTATTTTAATTAAACCATACATATTTGGTTTGAAAGTGTTTCTTTATGTTCACGTAATTTCAAAGAATTCGAAATTTTTTTGAACAGCAAAAAAATTTATTTGATTTAAGCGGAACGGTAATTGGTTTCTTCGGGAAACTATTTTAATTGTTTTTCCATATTTGGTCTGAAACGTTGCATCTCATTTGAAATGTTCAAATTCTTAAACAAAGCTAAATAGAGACAAATATATATGTATATATTCAGCAAGACATAAATGATACTGACCGCAACGGTCACTGGAGTAAGCAGAACAACTCGGCATAGTTTCATCACTCAATCAAATCAATCTATCACGAAAAAGAAGACATAATCATCAGCACTTGTATGGAACAAGCAAAAAGATTTGCTTACCGTGTCTTCCCATACAAACCTGCACCGAAACACTAAAAGCCACGAGTTATATTAAAGTTATAGTTTTGCGACGTTAATTGTTAATGATAATTTCTTAAATTTTTTTTTTTAAAAATTATCATTAAAAATTCAATTATTTTTTTGAAATTAGATGGTGATGTTATATAACAAATTCATAACAGAGTGGGCAGAGCAGTATTAGAACATAGTAGTCGCGTTTCAACGTCCATCGATATTGCGTTCTGCCAGTGACAGTGAAAAATGCTGTCCACATTCCACCGCTGATAACGGGGGTACGGTTTCGTGATAATATCTACGACGAATGACATAGTGGTACGTGGTCCTCTTCAGCGAAGCTATCTGACGGAGATAAGCAGAGACAAACGGAATCGTGCGCATGCTCGATAATTATGGCGTAGTACTGATAAATTTCAACTATTGAATCCCCTTATCTGATAGTCGGAGAAAGAAACGTAATAGTTATGTTTTAATATGAGCTATAACTATCGCTTACTGCCTAACGATTCATTTTATTGAAACTTTCACTGAATTTAACTTCTAGAGAAAAGGTCTGTAATAATCAAGTTTTTCTTATTAGGAAAAATTACCAACTATATATAAAATTCTTTGAATTGAAATATATGGTCTGATTATTTTCAAAAAAATCAAGTAACTCGACAGAAAGATATCGTATTGCGTTTACAGTAATAGGTATTAATCGTAATAATGAATAAAATTTTATTTTATTAAATTATTTATATTACAAACGAATCGGCTCACAACACGAAAAGTTGCGTATATATCAGAACCCACCATTAGAAATATAGTGCGACAGGCATGAATAAAAACCGAAAAGTGCGAGTTGAACTCGTGGTCTAAGGGTTCCTTATAAATTTATTTATTTTATGAGGCAATGAGAAATAAAAAAGTTGTGATTTTTGTTATGTGTGTCATCCGTTGTTATTATGCTTATAAAAAAGTTTCTCCGCACACTAGAGATTTTTCTGTTACTAGTATCTATAGAACTGTTACGTCGAACTATACGATATCAGGTCGCGGGTGCGGAGCAGTCTTGGAACAAAATAAACTAACATTTAATAAAACTCAATAACAAAGCCACATAGATAGCTCAGTGTCCGGGCGTTCAATTCAATATACTCGAGCAACCCGAGTTCGATCCCCGGTGCCGGCACCTATGAAATAGTTAATTTTAAGTGCTGACTTATCACAAGCACCGCAGTGAAGGAAAAAAATCGTGAGGAAACCCGCATAATTTCGAAATAATAACAAAAAGAGGTATTTCGAAGACATATGAAGACGCGTGGTGGACTATGCTCTGATATCCTCCTGTACAGAGGAGGCCTTTGCCCAGCAGTGGGACATATATTTTTTTACAATAACATTCATAATTGATACACTTAAATACAGTGAAACAACAAAAACAGGAATTCATTAAACAGCTACTATACAAAATAGCTGCGCCGTTAAGCGCGTTAACAAGAGAAAGTGAAGACATCTCGTCTAATATTCATAAATAAGATAACTTTATAATAGGTCATAGGAGCAACTACGTAGACTATTAAACTAGCCACGGGTATGCAGGCTGCCGTATGAAGCGTTAGGGCTAGGAGTCGAGTCGACTTAAAACACTAAACTATTTATTAAACAATATCAAATTGAGTTTCAAATAGATTCGAGTATGTATTTTTTTTTTCATTTTACATTTACGTATTTTTACATATAACATTAGATCATTCTGTAGGAACAATCTGTGAGACTACCAACTCACAATCAATAACAAATCTATTAAAAGAGTAAAGTTTGTTTTATTAATTCAGACTGAAAAAAATATCTATTTTTCTTATCTCGTTATTAATGCTTTATATATTATGAAATAAGGTTCGAGCACTAGAACCAAGAACTTTACGGGCTAAAATAGCTCATAAAATTAAATCCAAGTTACAGTTTAAGCGGTTTATGCGTCTGATCGTGAAAATTTTGCACCTGAGTTTTGTAAATGAGGTTTATATTATAAGAAACGCCAATGAAATATTTTTCACAGCGATGATATGCGAAAAATTCTCACGTTAAAAGATTAAATATGGGCCATGAGCTAGTCCACGAAACGTAAACCAAACACAATGAAACCGCAGATTAGATCAGACGTCGACCTCGACGCCAGCACGCGACTGTCGACATCGATACAATCCGTGCAGCGTCGATGCGTGCATTCCTATCGATATCGCACGGTTGCACGAGAGCTGCGGGGCAGCCCTACGCACGATCTCCACACAGTCCCATCGATATCGCACAGTTGCACGATATGTGCGGGGCAGCCCTACGCGCGATCTCCACACGTTCCCATCGATATCACGCTGTTGCACAAGAGGTGCGGGGCAGCCCTACGCGCGATCTCGACTCCAGTCGACACATGCCAATCATTAATCAGCGCCGGGACTGCCCGGGCCGTGTCCAACTTTCACCCGGCTCGTCTCGCTCCCGTCGCGTTGCACCATCAAGCAATTCGGCGGGAGCCGTGTTTCATTCAATGGACCCTCATTAACCGTTCACCGCTCCTCTTAATGGTCGTGCATATACCGGGCTTTTGACTCTCGATGTGTTCCGGTCGACCGACGTACGCACGTCCATAGATCGGCTGCGTTTCGTCAGTTTAGAATGTGCCGATTATAACGACACAAGTACCGGTTATGTGCGAAATATATCATTCATTGTTATTCTATTTATAATAATACTCTTGCTCCAGGATAAGATGAATTTCTCATGAACTGAAAACTCATTGCACCTTTAATTATGATAACTATAACATAACTTAAATTCTGTAGAAAAATGGTAAAAAAAATGGAAAATTCACCGCTGGCTTCAATCATTTGAAACTTTTCCTTTATTTCTGCCCAGAAAGTGTTAAAACATTAATATAATATAAAAAAAAAATATTTATACTTAGTTAAGCGTATTATCGCCCCGCTAAATTAATTTGTTTTAGATTTCGCGCCGCGTGTATTAAGGATTTAAAAAAAATCCTCCCTTGCGAGTAATAACGGCAGCAGACCGGTTTCATTTGTATAAAGTCAATCAATTAAAATATGTGAGGTCCATTCACAATCCGTACCATACTAAATAATTACAATACAGGCAATATTGTAATTGGTACGGATTGTAAACAAAACCCCGGCACGAAGGAGAGCGCGAAACCTTTGCGATGGCGCTTTCAATCCGTATTCGAGGATCGGCATATAGAATGTTTGCACCGAAACACCCGATTGAATAGAGGGCGTGGCGGCGCTCCGGCGGACCGCGAGGCGGTTTGGCATTTCCCACATTATTACACAAACATATCTCCAATGGGTGGGACCTTTTGAACCGTTATCGTATCATATTTCCTTAATAAGGTCCGCCTCGGTCCTTCGCGAGTTATCTGTAGTGAGAAATTCGTAAATCTGCCTTTCTCAGGATTTCTAATGGACGTACTGCATCCTTTAGATTTGTAACATAATTGTTTTATCCAACTATACATTTATTAACTGAAGACGATTTGAAGCATCGGATCAGTGAACTTCTCCAAAAGACAATCAATGACAAAAGACAATGGTTGTTTGTCCACATGAAATTAATTTTTGTATAATGTATTTACAAGACAGGATAATGTTATCCTAAAATAAATGCAATGTTTTCAAAAAACAAAAATTCCACATCTGGGTGTTTGTTTCCAAGGTGGGGGGTGACGTCAGACCTGACGTACGAAACCTAGCCAAAATCCTCCCCACCACCCCACCAAGGTGGCATCAGGGCAGGAGGATGATATGCGAAATAGTGCCAAATCAAAAAGTAACATATAAATAACTGAGGGCAGCAGCATTACTTCTAAATACCGTATGTTCGTGAAGAGATGAAAAATTACGCGGTAAATCTGTCATTACTTTTATTTCTTTAATTCAATTTGCGCGTTCCACTGTTGCACTCGAGTGTACATGATCGCTTGGAGTACGAATCGGCGACCGCGATAGGAGCGTTTCGTTTGAATTATATTAATTTCCCGCGTACGATATGGACTCGGGCGCTGTCCGCTCGACAAAGCGGGCCGTGCTGCGGGTGCCAACATGACAGCGCGGGCTAATTCAGCGCGCGCCCGACTCGCCGGGGATGCGAAATCGCTCCGCGGGACAGCTAATGGCCGGGGAAATAAGCATAAACACGAATGGAAACCCGCAAACACTTTCCAATGCCGGTAATGAACTGGGCCGAGGACTGGGTCGACGTGTGGCCACGCCGCCGGGCCTCTTTCCGGGACGGGCACGAGGAGAAGGAAAACTGTCCGCGCTCCAGTCGAAAGTGCAATTTCGTAAGGCCATTGGGACAAATAATAGACCAACAAATGCACCGGTAAAACGTATTAGGTTGAGGCTTAATAAATATTTTACTGACCTAACTCCATTATAGGGCCAATATATACACACAATAGCACGGCTAAGCGAAGTAATCTTTCGGGAATGAGAAAAAAAATGTAAATACTGTCCGAAAAACTATTACGAACGTGTGGTGCACCTAACGTCACCTCTCCAGTCGGCGCAAAATGCTCCGAAAGCTTCCTGAGAAAGTTCCAACGCTCTCTTAAATCAGCGCAGACATCTACACATAAAATGTGCGTCCGATCCGTGAGTTACGGGCCTATTATTCAAATGGTTATCTTTATCAACCATTGTAATGGGACAAGCGGCCCCTGCGTGGGCACATTATCTCCTATCATCGAGCGCCATTGACAACTGGCTCGTTTAAATTCGCTCATAATGCCGATCCGGACGGGGAATTAACAGCGCAGGAGATTTTTAAGCACAATTCTATTATTTTAAGCCTTTTGTATCGCAATACAACAGATAACTTTCTATGTACTCTCAGAAAACTTGCATAATGGAATTCAAGATAACATCAAACAGAAATTCCTACGTGGACGACAACTTGTAAAGAGCGATCATAATTTTATAATCTTGGTCCCACGTTAATATAATATAAAAACTCCGTTCAAGATAGTTTTCACTATAAACTGTGAAAACTATCTTGAACGGAGGTTAAACTCAATGCCACCAACAAAATGCAATTTGAAACATTTATACCTAAATTCTAAAGGTTTAATTATTGTCTTTTTCTTTGTTTGCGAATCTTTTATGTTTAAAGGATATGATGCACCAAAATAGTTTTCATATTTAATTTGGTGGTAATTATAACTAGATACTAATGATACTGGCCTATTTTAAGCTAAATTCAACCACCGTTTTTACTTTCACTGGGATATAATAGGTAGCTATTATAAGTCTACGAGCCGTGATAGCTCAGTGTCCGCTCGCGTTTTATTCAATATACTCGAATAACCCGAGTTCAAATCCCGGTGGCGACAGTCGGCACCAATGACATTATTAATTTTAAGTGCTGACTTATCACGTGAGGAAACCTGCACCTTTTCGAAATAATAACGAAAGAAATAGTTCGAACATATGTGAAGTCCGCTATGTGGAGTGGCGTGGACTGTATCCTGGTGGCATTTACCCAGCAGTGGGACACCCATATAGGGTGCTACTTTACTTTATAAGTCTATTGGAACTCTGGCAGAGCTATATACTTTCTGAAAGTTTCTTTTCTTACACATTTAATAAATGTATACGCATGTTCTTATTTGCAAGGTGTGCGAAAGTGCATACACTGTTTTTTTTTTATTTTTTCTAATGTGAATATTTGACGAGCGAGAGAGCGAGTTCACCCGGTGTTTTCACATTTACAACACCTCATGAGTTGCAGAAGCGTTTTGCCAACTATTAAAACTGATGTATCTTAAGAGTTTTGTCCCAAATCCAAATACCTTTTTGTCGCTATCGAATGTCAAAGTACTTCTTAATATGTAAGTATACACGTTACATAATATACATGTACATGTTACATGTGTATATATGTACAAAAAGTCACTGCAAGAGTCTTGAACACGAGAAACTTCACCAATATATTAGCCAATATATCAGCCTCATTATTGCTTATCACAGCGGCGTGAAATGGGATCGCAATGATGTCTCAGTTAATAAATGGACATGTACTTAACGAAACGAATCGCGTTCTGACACGAGGTGTCGTAACGATCGAAATCGGCTTGGAAAGTCTTTTAATAATAGCGCATTGCGGCAAGTTCAGATCGGTGCTGGTGATAAACCAAATACATCGACGAATGGGAGAAAGAATACAAGCACAAGACGGCCGCGGGGCGAGGCTGCTAGCAATAATGTAGATTAAGAAAGCTATAGTGGACAAGTAACAGCCATTTAATTGTTACTTGGAGACCGTTCTAAAGATTTACTCTAGCTATTGACTCAAATTGAACCAGGTCCATATAAAAAAAAAGTAAAAGTAACAGCCTATATATGCCCACTGCTAAGCAAAGGTATCATTTGATACAGGGGGTACCTATTAGGGCATAGTCCACCACGCGACCCCACCGCGGATTGGCGGACTTCACATATCTTTCTTTTATGATTTCAAAAATATGCAGGTTTCCTCACGATGTTTTCCCTCACCGCTGAGCGCGTGATAATTCAGCACTTAAAATTTTTGTATATTGAATTAAAAGCGAGCACCCGGACAATGATTTATCACGACTCCTCAGCTATAACGGCTTTTATAGCTAAGTCGAAGCATTCATAAAAGAAAAATCCTCGTGTTCAAATTTCAAATTAGAAACGCTTGTGTAAGCTCGTTCGACTGTTTTCTTTAAGTTGACAGTAAAATTTAGATAATTTTAATACATTCAAAATACCGAGGATAACTTTTCGAGAACAGCTCGTGTCATTTCCCATTTTATTTCTTAATCTCTTCTCGTTCTCTCAAAAAACCTTTTAGTATATAAATATATTTTCTCATTTTTAAACATGCCTTTAACATATTTAACATTCTCACTTAGGATCATGAATTGTGTGGTTTTATTTATTTGTAACCAAATTGTGTATATGGAAAACTCACGATAAAGCCCGCGTTGGAGCATCATATAAAGTACCGTTAATTAACGTTTTGTTGTAACAAACGGCAAAAAGCCGACAAAAGAAAAACACAAAGGTCATTAAAATCTGATTCTGTTTTTAATAACTTAATGGCTCAGCAACTAATACACCTCACAGTCATACCGCGACTAAATTATTACTCATTTTCAAGGCGTCGGCTTCGCAAAATACCTAGATTCTAAACGATTGTATTAGCTTCAAACAATGCCTATACGATGACGCAACCAGCAGCGAAATTTATATAACAAGAGGTGCAAAACACAAAACCGCCCGCAGCCGTAAGAAAATATCCGCGAGGCGTATTGTATGACTGACAGACGCAGACCACTCCAATCACGGCACGGCGGATTGAGTGACCGATACACAGTAATTATTAACATCGCATTGGCTGCTTTCATTTGGGAGAGGCTTCGTATATCCTGTCCTTCGTGGTGGAACAGCCTTACTTGCGCTGTGTACTGCTAACTAAAATTAATCGCAGTAGCGGACAGTGGTAGCCTAGTTTTTTTTTTTAAATGGGAAATGGAGGCAAAAGGGCGTGCGGGTCACCTGATGATGAGCGATCATTACGCGACATTTGCAACATCAGTTTAGTCGCAATTGCGTTGCCGGCCTTTGAGGTAGGAGTTGGCTCTCTTCTTGAATGTCCCTAAGTCGTATCGGTCCGGAAATACCGCTGGCGACAACTCGTTCAACAAAGTACTTTTGCGGGTTAGAAAATTGCGTGAAAAACGCACATTGGTGGACCGCTAACCATTAAAGTGGTGTCGATGGTACTTGGCGGTTTGACGAGTTGTAGGATGGTGAAATTCACCAGCAGGTATCAACCCAAACAATTCCTCAGAGCACTCCCCATGATATTATATCCGACAGAAAATGCAAAGGGATGCAATATACCTTCGTAAGGCCAAAGAGTCGAGGCTAGTTGAATGTTGTTGCCTTTTTTTATATAAGAATTTGGCGGTGCACGTGATAACTGCCGCCTGTGGAAATTAGCAACACCCGTAGGGTTGCAGATGCGTTGCAACATTTCAATAAAGTGTGCATCGGTTACCACACTCATCAGACGAAACGCAGAAGTATAACACTTCAGATGCACGCCGGTATTCTGTGTGATCGTGGACCCGTGCTGCCTCGGACGGAGTTGCATATTCGTGCAACCGCGAAAACTCCTGCGTGACTCTAACACACATCACTAGCACAATCTTTGCAGTCACGGCCTGTAGAAAAGGGCTACGCTATCCTGCTTGTTATAAAGAGGAAGGGCGTAGGTATCACAGGCGATCAGGGTGTTTAGCCGACTACGCGGGAGCCAGTGGGAAAGGCCATTGACAATGAAAGACAGCGTAGAAGGCAGAAAAACATTGAATTGATAAATACTTATTAGTAAATTGTTATACTACCGTTCGACGGCTAATAACGGTACATTGCGTGAATTTCACAGTCGTCGACCTAGTCTAATGTTATTACTTCAGTGAGTTATTGAGATTTCGCACAGCAACCTCGCGAATAGACTATAGGGATCAATTATCCTGACACACTACATAACCTATAAAATACAAAATGTGTCTACGGATTGGCACTACGATAAATAAAGCACTGCACTATCGGCAGCAGATAGAAGAAAAGCTAACATCGTGATTAAGTACTGTTCGTTGCGTATTCGAGCTTGTGTACGGCGCGTACAAAAGCACGAATAACGATTCACGTGGGCGACTGTACATATCGCGGTCGGTTGCTGCGTACAAATCGTCGGAGTGGGCACGCGGGGCCCATAAATTCATCAACGGATCCAACGGCCACAAATAACAATCGGGGAATAGTTGCCCGGGGTGTTTGGCTTAATGCGAACAATCGTTTAGCTCCGGAGAAAGTGCGGTACGGGACGAATGTCGTGTACGAAGCATTAAATTTTAATGAACCCTCGTTGTGTCTCCGACGAAAATATGTCTTACGGTCGCATTGGGTGACTTCAATCATTAGCCTTTAGATGGCCACAATAAATAAATGAATATAACGCAATAAATAATAAAATAAAACGTTTACTCGTTCTAGTGATGTCTTAGTTATCATTGTTTAAATGGAAAAAGGGTGGTGTCAACATGCATGGTCAGTAGTCGGCGTAAGTAATTCTATTAATTGTGTTTTAAAATATGGAATTACGTTAGATTGGAAATAAACCCCTTTTTCTCATTTAACTAAGACATAAGTCAATTTATTAATATAATTTATCTGTCCCTTATATACATTGGTTGATACCTATACATTGTTTTAAAACTTTTTTTTGTTGTGTTTTCCTTATTTCTTTCTAATTGTTT